ATATTCGACTGAGAATTCTTTTCCATCGATTGGACTGAAAGATGTATCAAGGTCTGAATCATATTTAAGTATATCATCGCATGCAGGTGAATCACAATTTTTACCAATAACAAATAAATCGCCTGATCCTGTATCAAACTGTATATCAAAATTCTGTGGGGTTCCCGTGCCAAAGGTAATTTGTCCAAAATAAGCAACATCTGGTTGTTCACGGTCTACAGGCATGGATCCAATTGCTCGTCTGGAATACCTGCGACGAGTGATTGATTTCGACTTTAGCGGAATTGTATGCACATTAGGTTTGTCATGGGGTAATGCATCAACAGATAGAAAAATTGCAATTGCGAATGTAAATATATGCAAAGCGCGCATGATGAATTAAGAATAGTATTGAGAAAGATATCTTATGTGAGTGATTTTATTCACAAAGAAATTGCATTCTACGTAGCTTCATTTTTATATATTTTAAAGAAATTTGATTACGGCTAATCTCTTGAAAAGAATATGATCATCAAATCCGATAATGATCTTAAAACGAAATTCATGTACAAATCACCTTATAATATGAAAATTTTTGTCGATCTGAAATAATGGATTGTACAATATCGGGATTTATTTCATACATTATTTGTCATCTCAGGTTACTTATAGTAAATCCAGCGGATTTGTGTAATATAAATTTATTATAGAATTGGGAAACCCAATTCTCTAATTAATTTACTGATATTGTGCGTCCGTCAGTCACGGCGAGAATCACTATGTACGGCTGACGGTTACGGCACGATTCCCCTAAAGCCATTTACCCGACAGGACATTTACCCGACATCACACAGGTGACAAATTGCTAAAAATATATATATACCTACAGCTAATTAAATGCTAAACCTACCCTATGTGATGTCGGGTAAATGTCCTGTCGGGTAATGGCTTTCGGAGAATTGAGCGACAACCACGACGGACATGTGATTACACAAATCCGCCGATATGAAAAATTAAGTTCTCTAGCTCTGTTAGAATTTATTGTGTGTATTTACCAGTATCGATTATATAGTACCACCCTCCTTACGAATATCTATCCTATAAATACTTTCTTTTGTTTGGTAATTTTTTAGTTATTCGATAACTTTAGGCAAGTGTCTAACCCATGCTCTTATTAATCTAGAATTAGAGGATTAATTCAACAGCATACTGAATCTTATAAAACATATTTCATCTGCGCGTATCTAAAAATTTGTAGATCTCCCTACTAGCCGACTATAACAACCCACTTAACAACACCCCCAGAGGTCAGCACCACGCCAATGGATACCTACTAAGTTATATGAACCATATTACAACAATCCAACAGGAATCACCTATCAACCCCAAACCACTCAAAATAATCACCCACAACGTTCAAGGTTATAGTCAAATTACTAAAAGACAGCTCTAGCTTGACTACCGTACTGCACACCAACTTGATATTATATTATTAACTGAGACCAAACTCGCTCACTTCCACTATTCAAACTCAACCTTTATAACTCCTACTATAAATGCTTCGCATCCAACAATAATACCACCACACCTGAGCACCCTAAAGAATCTAATACAGAAACTGCAATTTTAATAAAACAAAGCATTATCACATATATTCACAATATTCAGCCCTTGCTGAAACTACCATCACAATCAATTTATTTTTCCTCTACAAAAATTTTACATAATTTTTACCTATCTATCTAGCAACGCCAAAACAAACAATACAACTTAAAAACAACTCATTTAATAAATAAATCTAGCCAAACAATAACAAATACTTTCTATAGTTATGGATGATTTTAACTAATATCTAAACAAAAACCAAAAGTTTGTACTATACAATTATCTGATTTTATATAACTTTATATCTCTAGTATATACCTTTTATTCCATATATCAACATAACAACAGGCAGAATTTTTCAGCAAATTGATAAAATCTGGGTACCCATTATATTCTATACTCTTACTTCTACTACAGGTATTACTAACAGTAATCACTGTATAATAATTATTAATTTCGCTATCTTAACATTACACATTGTAAGTATTTTAAAAATATAATTTAAAAATTACAAATATAATACAATAATTATAGAACTTTTAAACCAATATCAATAAACTATCTACAAACTCACTACTATACTTACTGAAGATTCATATTATACTTTACAGTTAATTAACTATAGTATTATATTCAAACTGCAATAACAAAAACAGCAACTAACAAATATCTTTAGCTTTTATTCTTAAAAATAATTTTATATCTTCTTTTTCAAAATATTAAAAATAGAACATGACTAAATAGTACCTTATGCACTTTGTGCTTCTCTTGATTGATCAATAAAATTGCAAGATCAAGTATGATATGTAGATCAATTTTGTGTAACAAAAACAATTATGCATAACAATTTTGTATAACAAAACAAAG